GGCTAGGGTTGCAGTCACCTCAGGGCCCACACACAGTTAAACAGTTGAACCTTTTCATTGTTGCAGAATTGAAAGGGAAGCTTATGAGGGAAGCCTCAACTGTAAAGTCCATAGAGGGAGTTGTTCAGGCAAGGCAGCTGTTCTGGGGCTGCAGCTTCTGCTTAACATCTTCCGTTCCCGGCTGCACTGGGGTATGAGCAGCCGTCCTTATGCTGCTCTTCTCGTGCCCTCACTTGAGATTTGTTGGAGTTGCCCGTGTAAGATCCTGACTACAAAAATCAGGCACAGGGATGTAGACAACAACTTCAGAAGTGTTTCTGGCAACTTCTAAAGTCTGAATAGCTTCTTTACTAAGGCAAATCTAATTGAATGTCTTATTTTATAGTATTAGCAGATGGCAGTTTATATAACTGGTATGACAATGGTTCACTCAGTAACTGCTATCTAGAGTTTTTGATTTTTTTTCTTTTTTTTTTTTGGAGCTGAGGACTGAACCCAGGGCCTTGTGCTTGCTAGGCAAGCACTCTACCACTGAGCTAAATCCCCAACCCCTAGAGTTTTTAATTTTTAAAAATCTTACATAGTTGTGTTAGCCCGGCATGGTGGCGCATGCCTGTAGTCCCAGCACTTGGGAGGCAGAGGCAGGAGGATCTCTGTGAGTTCAAGGCCAGCCAGGTCTAAATAGTGAGCTCCAGGAAAGATGGGGGTTCAGGGAGACCCTGCTTCAAAAAGACAAAAAAAAAAAAGGAAAAAAAAAAAACCAAAATAAGAAACTTAGGTAGTTTTAAAAATTTTGAGTGTTAGTAGCATTAACAGTTCAATGTGTGTGTACGTGTACGTGTGTGTGGTGTTGGTGTGTGTGTGTGTGTGTGTGTGTGTGTGTGTGGTGTGTATGACAGTGGTGGAGCTTGAACCCAAGGCCTCACACATACTAGACAAGTGTTCTGCCATTGAACCTTAGCCTCCTGTCTTCAACACCCCCGCCGCCTCATGTTTGTGTGCCCTGTGCATGTTAGGCAGATGCACTGCTGAACTTCACACCCACCCTCCTACCCCCCCGTTTTCTTTTCCAGGCAGGGTCTTCCTATGTAGCCCAGAATGGCCTTCAACTCACTAGCCTCAAATTCATGGTGATCCTTGTGCCTCAGCATGCAAGAGTGCCGGGTTTACAGGTGCAAAGCACCAGGCCTGGCTTTTCTGTTGTTTGAGACTTGTCTGTTTATCCTGGGAACCCTGTGTATAGCCTAGGATGGCCTCAAACTTAGACCACCTTTGCCTCTGCCTCCTGGTTATTGGAATTGCTGCGTGTGGCACCATGCCCAGGTAGCTACTGCATCCTAATCTAAGCAGTTTATTATGTTCAGATAGATTTTATGAGCTAACCTTGCATTGGTGGAGTGTTTGAGTGGGTTTTGACTGCTAAAGAATGACTTTTGGTTGATGAACACTGTAATTTAATTAGAGATTGCATAGGCTAATATTGAATAGAGCACCCTGATCTCTAGAATTAAAAATAACAAAACATACACATGTATCCATGTGTGTGCGCTCACAAGTGTGCTTTCACACGCATGCTTGCGTATACACACACACACGCACACACAAACACACGCACACACCTCTAAATGGAAAGATCTACTTTAAGGATGAAGATAACAGTGCTCAGTGGTAGAGCGCTTGCCTCACATGTGAGGCCCTTAGTTCAGTCCCCATCGCCACACACATAGAAGTGATCCATCTTAGTTAAGTTCATGAAATGATAACAAAAAGCAGCTCCCAGTGCCAACAGGTGAGTCACCCTTTTGGTTATGTTAAATATTTTCATAATGCCTCAATTTATTTATGTATTTATGTATGTAGTATTTATGTATGTATGTATTTATTGGTCTTTTTGAGACAGGGTCTCCCTGTAGCCCCAGCTGGCCTGAAACTCACTGTGTAGACCAGGCTGGCCTTGAACTCACAGAGATCCAAGTTCCTCTGCCTCCTGAGTGCTGGGATTAAAGGAATGCACTGCCACGCCCAGCTAATTCTCTTATTTTTAAAATGTATTTGATTCTATTTTAAGTTCATAGGACTTAAATCTGAATGGAAGTCACTGTTCACTTGAAGTAAAAGTTGAAAATGGTTTGGTTTGTAGCTCATTCCATTAAGGAATTTTAGGTTATTGCTGCTATAGTACAAACCAGACAAAGCAGATCTTTGTGCACTCACCTCACCTCAGTGCCTCAAAGTTAAGAGGAATCTAGTCAACTAAAACGGCAGCTTAGATGCTTTTGCAAATACTAAGCTTTGGGTTACAGTTAGAAATGGAGTCTGTGATCTGCTGCAGTAACCAAAATGTCTAAAACTAGGTACTTTATAAAGAAAACAGGTTTGTTTAGTTCACAGTTTTATAGGTTGGCTGACTGTGACTGGATAGTTGCTGTCTAGCAAGGATGCCTGTTTGGATTCTGATGAAGGTACCATGGTGGATGGCAATGCAATGATAGAGCATGCTCAGAGCAGATCACTCAGCAAGGGGAAGTCAGAGAGCACAGCAGGACCAAGCTTCTGCTTCTGTGAGAACTTCAGCCCTTCTGTGAGAGATGCCCCCAGAGATGTCATTCCTTTTGCTGGGCCCTACTTACTTACTTTTTATTGAATTTTGCCATTTTCATACAATATAATTTGATGGTATTTAGAATCCCTCCTCTATCTGCACCTCCCCTTACTGCCCCCTCCCAATTTCATGTATTCTATAATACATATACACATATGTATTCTCTCTCTCTCTCTCTCTCTCTCTCTCTCTCTCTCTCTCTCTCAGGTCTATAGAGTCTAATTTGTTTTTCAAATGTCCTTGAGTATGGGTCCATCCATTGGAGCCTAGTTACCATTAACCTACCAAAAATCACATCTTTGAAAGAGGCAGTCTCAGACCCCCCCCCCCCCCCACCCATGGGTTGTAAAAAGTTTCCTGGGTTGGGTTGGAGTTGCTTTCCCACTTCCCCCCCTATCCTGGGATTTTTGTCTGGTTTGAGCTTGCATAGGACTTGTGCATGCTGTTACCATTACTGTGAGTTCATAAGAGTAACTCACCAGCTGTCTGGAAAACTCTTTCTTTGTGTTGTCATCTACTACCTCTTTCCATCTCCCTCTTCTGCAATGATCCCTGAGCCTTGGGAGGCAGAAGTTTGATACAGGTGATCTGTTCAGGGATAAGCACTCTGCAGCCTCTTGTTCTCTGCTCATTTAGGCCCTACTTTTTTTTTTTTTTTTTTTTTGGTCTTTTTGAGACAGGGTCTCCCTGTAGCCCCAGTTGTCCTGGATTCACTATGGAGACCAGGCTGGCCTCCAACTCACAAAGATCTGCCTACTTCTGCCTCCTGAGTGCTGGGATTAAAGGCGTGCGCCACCATGCCTGGCTAGGCCCTACTTTTTATTTATTATTTATTTATTTTTATATTTTATTTATTATTATTATTTTTTTATGTGTATGAGTGTACTGCCTGCATTTATGTGAGTGCACCTGTGTCATGCAGTGCCCGATGTCAGAAGAGAGCTTCAGATTCCCCTGGAACTGGAGTTAAGGATGGATCTTAGCCGCCATGTCGGTGCTGGGAATTGAACCCGGGTCAGTGCCCTTGACCGCTGAGCCATCTCTCCAGCCCCAGCCCTACTTTTTATAAATTCCTCCAGCTCTCAGTATCGCCTTACTGAGGATGCACATGTGGGGGGACATTCTAGCCACATCCAAACTGTGGCAGTGAAATGCTCCAGTTTGAATGAGTTAGTCATTTAACAACAAATTCATTTCATTATTATTCTACTTTATGACTCAGATTTATAGACATTTGCATGTTAAAATTAAATATTAATCTAGCAAAATCTTAACACACGTACTGTTAGACTTCGTTATTTATGACATGTACTAAATACAGATAATACTTCCTAACAAGATCAAGGTGTAAGACACTCAATAGAATTAAATTTCAAGTTGCTTTTTGTGGGAAAACGATTTCCTGTTACTTTAATCCAATTTCATCTATAGACAAAACAGGAAACGTTAGATGTTTTGAAGTTTGTTTCCATGGAATGAAGAATCATGAATCCACAGGAATCTAGAAGGCGGGACGCTCTAGTCCATTTCCTAAGGCCCATGCTAGCATGAGGATGCCGGGGATTGGTCCTCAGCATGGCATAACTGGGCGTGGTGGCACACCCATAATTCTAGTGTTTGGGAGATTGAGACAGGAGTATCAGAAGCCATCCTTGGCTACATAGTGAATTTAGGGCTAGCCTAGGCTACATGAGACTTTGTTTAAAAAACATTAAAGGATCTGGGAGGTAGAAGATGAACATTCAGCAAGATGATAACAAAATGTTGAGACGTACCTGTGTCTAGTGATACTAGGATAGTGTTTGAAATTGTCACTAATGTGGCATGTTAAAGATCATTAACATATGTTAAAAAGCACAGAGCCTTGAGTATCATTTTTTCTTTTTTATTATAATACATATTTTAATTGAATTTTTGTGTATTTCATAAAATACATCTTAATCATATTTATACCCCCTCCTCTGTCTACACTGGCTCCATAGGCCCTCCCCACTGGATTTCATGCATTCTGTCATGTATGTTAAGAACTGTTGAGACAAATTTGTGTCCCAGCTGTCCCTCAGTGTGAGTTCATCCATTGGAGACTGGTCAACCTATCTAGCATCGCTCCTTTCGTTAAAGACCAGCTCTCTCCCTCACCCAGCAGTGAGCTTAGGGACCATTGCAGAAGAGGTGGAAGGATCTAAGAGCCAGGTGTGGTGACCACAGGAAACAGAGTTATCCAGGTGGGAAGTTATTCATGTGAACTCACAGCAATGATGACAGCATGCACAAGACCCATGCAAACTCAAACCAGACAAAAACCCAGCAAAGAACTAAGGAAATGGGTAAGGAGCCCCAGCCTTAGCTGAGAAATTATTGGCAGCTGATCATTTTTTCTTTTTGGAACAGGATCTCTCACTGGCCTGGAGTTCTCCAAGTAAACTAGGCTGGCTGGCCAGCAGGCCCCAGGGATCCACTTGCCTTCGCCTCCCTACCACCAGGATTACAAGCATCTACCACATACGCACATTTTTACATGGGTTCTGTAGATAGAACTAAGTTACTGACTGAGCCATCTCCCCAATCTCTCTTTTTCCTTTTGGTAAGAAATTTTCATTAGATGATATGTCCATTTTCAGGAAGTTATTTTAAATAATGCGAGCAATTTACTTATTTTGTACAAGTATTTAAGGATGAAAGTCACCCTTATTATTTATCAGTCACTGAAGTACTTTTATGTTTGTGCATGGTCGGTTTATTAGTTGGTATAAATAGTTATTTTAAAGACTGGCTGACTTTTAACCTGAAGTCTAATGATTGCTAACCAGCCATGAAAGCTGTGTAAATGTTAGTATAGACACTACCATCGTGGGCTAAAACCATAAGAAATGGCAGATGCTGACCAACCATTTATTCTTGAACTAATACTATAAAATAATGGTGGTGTTTCAGTGACGTGTGTTTCACAGCTAATATTTCTGTTTGTTAAAGCACAGGTGCTATTATAGTGGACATAGAGAAATGGAGTCATTCAAATCTCTTTTCCTTCTGTTTCCGATAAAGCCAGACGTTTCTGTTGACACTTGGCAATTTGTTTGCATTCATTTTACTTTCTGGAGTTCATGTCTAGACATCTGGTAAATTTACAGTTTCTCCTATAGCTCTCCATGAGTTAATAATCTCAAATAAAATTAAATAATCTTCTTATTCTGATAGAGAAGAAAAAACTGGATCACTTACCAGTAACTGGAGTTCTCCTATTGGGTAATCTCCACAGATCCACATTCTTTGAAGTTATTGTGAGTGCCTCGAGGACCAAGGAACCGTTGAAATTTCCAATTTCAGGAAGGTAAGCAAGCACACTGAAGCATGCCTCTAGCACCTCCCCAGTTCCCTACCCAACCGTCTTACATGTACGTCTGTGCTGCATGCCCCTCAGTTCCAGTGGTGCCCGTCAGGAGGACTCCCAAGCTGGACAGAAGGCAAGAGGTGGATCTGTGAGGGAAAAGACCCAATAGGATAACTCAAGTTACTGGTAAGTGATCTGGTTTTCACAGACTTGAGATTTTTTTCTCTCAAATCTCTTCTCTGTAGCAGCTTAATAGAAAGAGCAGAAGTTGTTGTTTTGGTTAGTTTCTTTTTATATGTTTGATGTAGGTTATGAAAACCATTTTATGAAACAGCAAATCATTTATGGTGCATAAGTATGACAGTGATTTTAAAGAATGTTATTATATAACTATAAAAAGTGTATGTTAGCTTTCAATAAACAGTGTAGTAGTTCTAAAGTAATACAGGAAAGCTACATGTTTAATTATTTTATGAATTTATTTACACTGTTACTTTAATGGAATACTTGAACTGTAAATTTATGAGCATACCAAATTTGGTCAAATTATTGTGGCACAGTAGTTGTGAACAGTAAGAATATTTTCAATCCACTGATTGTGCTTACTAAACACACTGCACCTTGGAGCTACGTCCCCAGTCTATCACTTTTTTTTTTTTAAGGTTTTTATTTTTATTTTATTTTTTTGAAACAGGGTCTCACATAACCCAGGGCAACTTCAAAACTCCCTATGTAGCTGAGGCTGCCCTTGAATTCCAGAACCTCCTGCCTCCACCTCCTGAGTGCTGGGAGAGACAGACATGTGCCACCTTGCCCAAAATGTTAGCGTTTCTTAATGACATAGTTTTCAGTGCACCTTTTAATTTCATTAAAGGTGTATTTGAAATATAATTTTGGGTGTGTTGAGCTTATTGTACTATGTCCTTGTAATGAAAGGGCCTGCTGATGGACCTGGGGCAGCATGGACTCAGTTTGAGCTCACTGACTGTAGGTTACAGATCATTATTGAGTTGACATGTAAATGTTAGCTAGCTTCCTCCCCCTTCTTTCTCTCTTTGTAGTGTTGAGGATTGAACCCAAACCTTGTATGTCCTAGGCAAGGGTTTTACTACTGAGTTCTGTCCCTTACAGTTAGTTTCTTAGTTCTGGTCTCTTTTATTTTGCATTATTACCAGGTAACTGTTCTGTGGGACTGACACACTGCCTGCTGTGCTAGGAGGGCGGCTCAGATAACCATTCTAAAGGGGCAGCTTTATCATACAGAGCCTTACACTTTGACAGCTGTTCTATACAATTTTTCTTTATTTGCTGGGCCTGTCGGCAGCCAGTCTTGTTCTCGTTTCCTCGGTTTGGAGCCCTGCTCTGCACTCACCTGGACTGTCCTCCTACTCATGCACTGGTTCTGCCTCTCCACTCTCCTGAAACACCCCACTCTGTTTTTCTGTTCTTCTCTTACTCCTCTTATCAGGCCTTTTTTGTTAGCATCTGTGTGTGCGTGTGTGTGTGTGAGCATCTGTGTGCGTTTGTGTGCGTGTGTGTGAGCATCTGTGCATGCGTGTGTGAAAATCTGTGTGTGTGAGCATCTGTGTGCATGCATGTGTGTGAGCATCTATGTGTGTATCTGTGTGCGTGTGCGCGTCTGTGTGTGAGCATCTGTGTGCATGCGTGTGTGCGCGCGTGTGTGTGAGCATCTGTGTGCGTGCATGTGTGTGTGAGCATGTGTGCATGCGTGTGTGTGAGCATCTGTTTGCGTGCGTGTGTGTGAGCATCTGTGTGCGTGCATGTGTGTGTGTGAGCATGTGTGCATGCGTGTGTGTGAGCATCTGTTTGCGTGCGTGTGTGTGAGCATCTGTGTGCGTGCATGTGTGTGTGTGAGCATGTGTGCATGCGTGTGTGTGCGTGTGTGTGAGCATCTGTTTGCGTGTGTGTGTGTGAGCATCTGTGTGCGTGCATGTGTGTGTGTGTGTGTGTGTGCGTGTGCGTGCACAAAGCATAGCCTCTGGTGTCATTCTTCAAGATTTGTAACCTTGTTTTTTTTAATTAATTAAATTTTTATGTGTATGAGTGTTTTGTCTGTGTGTGTAAGCGCAACCATGTCATTCAATGCCAGCAGAAGCCAGAAGAGAGCATTGTATCCCCTGGAACTGGAGTTATGTTTATGGACAGTCATAGGGTGCTAGGAAATGAATGTGAGCCCTCCGCTAGAGCGACCTGTGCTCTTAACGACACTGAGCCATCTCTCTAGCCCCTGTACCTTGGTCTTTTGAGATAGGGTCTCTCACTGGGACCTGGGGCTCACTGATTAGGCTCACCTGGCCAGTGTACCCCAGGGATCCTCCTGTTTCTGCCTCCCCAGTGCTGGGATTACAAGCATGTGCCCCTGTGCCTGGCTTTTCACTTGGGTGCTGGGACTCAAACTCTGGTCCGCAACCTTTTGTGACAAGCACATTACCAACTGAGCTATCTCCCCAGGCCTAGCATCTTTTCACTTATGTTTTCCCAGTGTAAGAGTGGGTATTTGGTGAGATTTTTGGCATGTGCTTGGCACAGAGCCAGGCTGCACGTACTGAGCACTCTTGTAGCTCATGTCGGGCTGGAGCTGAAGCTTTGCTGTTGCTGTACTACATGGCTTAAGGCTTAAACATCGGCTCTTCTGCTACTCTGATTATGCTGTTTTGAGGGATGAGGGAGTCAGAGTCTTACTGTGTAGCTAGTCTGACCTTGCAGGTGTGAAACTCTGGCTTCAGCCTCCCAAGTGCTGTGATCACAGGTGTGTGCCACTATGGCCAGCACTTTCATAAATACACAAAACTCTTAAACTGTTTTGAATGCTCTTTGAGCTCAAGAATAAGATTTTATAATTTTTCATCTCATCTGGTTCCTAAGATCAATGTCTAATAGGAAATCAGACCCACTGAAAAATTAGTTTTCCACATAGATCCATGAATGTATTTTACCAGCTTTTCATTTATAAAATAAGTTTATTTATTTGCCTTATATATCGTGTGAACTATATTTTTCTCTGGAAAATATCTTTTCCCCTTTAAAAACTGGTACAGTGAGATTCTAGTCTGTGTAATATTAACTTCTAATGGCACACAGAAAAGATTATGTATAATTTTGAAAGTATTCATTCAAATGCTGTCACTTTAAGACTGTTGAATAGTCCTAGGAAATAAGCTACAAAGGCAGTTTTTGAAGTTTTAATGATTTAGAGGATTACTGCTTAATTGCAGAAATGCTTATGTTTAAGAAAACTTGTTCAATTAAGGAGTAAATGTAATTTAATATTAAGGACGTTAAAAAATGAAATGCTTTCTGACAGATTTGAGTGTCTCTTCTAAATGATCACCAAAAGACAATTCAGACCCAGTCTCATAAGTCAGACCAAGATCAGAACAGTCCGATGACTTGTGTGTAGTTTTGAATCTGTGCTGCACATCTATGTAAAGGTCTGTTGGATCTCTATGGCACGGGAATGACAGTGGTTGTACTCACAGTGACCTTATCCTTTAAAGGCACCTGCAAAGATACTTGAATGAAGTATCTTGAGCTCAGGAGTAGGTTCAAAGAAAAGTAGATATTTGGGTAGTGTATGTGTGCATGGCCAGGGAGAGAAGAGCGAAGAGAGTGGACAGAGGCTGCAGTTCCGAATCCAGGTTTGAGGGGGATATTGGTGTCCATTTTACATTCAACATTTTTGTGGCTTTGAAATTAAAAAGAAAGTTGAGAAGAAAGTACTTTAAAAGAAGTTTATTGTGTTTTAACTTGTCTAATTTAAATGGGAATACTAGGATCTATTCTTTCCATGATTCGATGCCCACACACAGAGTGGGGTAGCGTTTGGTGGAAGGTCCAAGAGGACTCTGACAGTGAGATTGTTTGTATTAAAGAAGAGCATTATAATGGAGAACTTTTCCAAGAACATTTTGCCTAAGAGCTTATTACACATATATTTTTAAATGAAGTGAACACTGCCTTGCAACTACAGGAGCGATTGAGGAACAGTGCATACGAACAGATGTGTGAGGGCTGTGATAGAAGTAAGTGCAGAAGGGAGCAGCTTAGACAGCTGAAAAGATGGGTCACATTCAAGCTTCAGGTCAGCACGGGGGAGAGAGGAAAATACCAAAGAAAAGCTAAAACCTCAGGGCGGAGAAAGGCCTCACTGGGGCCTAAGAAGGAAGAGTGTAGAGAATGGAAGGAAGTTTTGAAGAAAATGACTGACAATTTCAAGAATTGAAAAAATACTACCATGGGAGATTGAGGCAGGGTGATTGTGTGAGCCCAGGATTTCCAGGCCAGCCTGGGCAACATAGTGAGACGCCCATCTGAGGAAAAAAATAGTGGAAATTATAAAATACCTGGAAACCGAATCACACCAAGTCTATATCAAAAACAAAGAATGCAAGAAAAACAGTGTTTAGCAGCAAATTTATGACCTTAAATGCATGGATTAAATTAAAAAATTGAAAATAAATGAGGTAACTTTTCAACAGCAGCAACAGCAAACCCCACGATTTGTAGAATCGTGCACTACAAAGCGAGAGCAGGAGCAGTGGGCGCAGCAGCACCCCAGTCCTCCGACCCACGCCGGCTCCTCGGCTGACGGGAAAGACTGAAGGAGCTCAGACGTGATACAGGTGGTAAAATGTCCAGAGGAACATTGCAACACAGACCGTGTATAGGGAATTACTATTATATGTATAGATAGCTGAGTTATTTGATTCTTTTAAAAAATTAAGTTTTAAGGTCAGCATTCAGAGTAATGGGCTTCATTTTGGCATTTTCACACGTATGTGCCGTTTGTTTTTTAAAAATTTTTTGGAGACAGGTTCTCACTGTAGCCAGGCTCTTGTCTAGAATTCGTTGTGTTGCCCAGGCTGGCCTCCTGCAGTTTACAGCAGTCCCCTGCCGCAGCCTTCGAAATGCTGGGGTTTTGTTCTTAAGTGAGCACTTACAAGCCTTTATTTTTCCTCATAAACATATAGTACAAGATGGTTAGAAAAAACGAAAGGAAATATGAGTCTCTGGGTATCTCAAAATCAGCCATGAAATAACACTACAGTGAGGGAGAGGCCCCAGGGGCTTGAGCTCCTGAAGCAGAAGAAACAGAAGTAACCAGGGCAAGAACA